CCAGTTCCAGCCCACTCGAACATGATGCATTACAGCCAACCACCCCAGAAAAAGAGTACAACAACAACAAAAACAAATGCACATCAACGGGCGCTCATCAAATGATCAATCACTATATGGTCGGGTCTGTCTATCAGTCCTTCAGTCCGCACAAAGGCTCTAACAATTGCCCTTGACAGTTTTTACCGTTTGCTGAATTGTTGTTTATGTCGCGCCTGATTATTTTGAGAGTTTCGAGTGTTGTCTATCTGTCCTGCCCTGCCTGTCTGTCTGTCTATCTTTTTGTATCCTTTGCATATGCTTTGCTGATTTCAGCATATGAAGAATTGATTGATTCTCACACTCTGTGTGGCAGGGAATGGCCAGAAGTGTGCGCCTGAGCAGCTGCCTCGCAATGGGTAACTGTTAATGCATATTCAAATCGCAATACGAGTATATAGAGTAGAGTATTGGAAATAGGTAAGTTATTAATTATTGTTATTTATTTATTTATCGACAAAAAGAGCTGTCGATGTGAGAAAAAAATTAAAACAATATAGAACTTATGCTAGATAAAACTAAAGAAAAGCAAAGCCTATAGAAAAAACAAAAATGTCCAATAACGAATCCGACTCTGTGGGGATTTTGTTTTTGCCAAACGACCAGCTATGCCCCGATTCACAGCAGAGAGTAGTCAGAGACGTTATTAGACCTAAAAAAAAAAGAAAAGGAAAAATAGCAATACAAGATTAAGAAGAAGTATAATTAAATTCAAATACTTAAATAATAAAAAATAAAATATAGTTTAAAGCTAGAGGTGGAGAATCACTGACCCGTTGGGGGCAGGTTTATTAGCCAGTCCGGCAAGCTGTGAGTAAACAATGAGTACAGAGGTGCTTTACTCGAAATGTTGAAAGTGTCGATTTCTGTTTCATATTTATCGCCTTTTTCCCGCAATCAAGTACAATTTTGATTTTAATAACTTAATTGTTATTTAATTTTTTATAATAGGAAATATTTCAAATAGAAGGTACCTACGTTCCTGTGAGATACTTTTTTGGTAGATTATTAGATATTATAAAAATTCTCTTTAATTAAATTTAAATTTTCCTTGCCTGAAAATTTGGAATTGTAGCGACTCAAGTCCATTGAGCTTATTACTCATAGCTGCTCTTGAATAAGCGATAAATATTTTGGTTCTAGTATAAGTCAGAGCTTCATTTAGGCTGTGTTAAAGCTTCCCGGATCCTAGAGCTGGGAAGTAACATAACTTTTAGTTTAGCATCCCTAATTCTTTTAGTTTTAATCTACATACATAGGTAGTGACAAGGTAGGGCTTGCATACACTTTTGTTCTTTTAGAACTGCCTACCATTGAATCCTTATTATACCCTGTACCCAAAGGGTGAAAGGGTATACTAGTTTATGCTTTAAAGTTGCCAACTAATGAGTCCCCTCCGTCAATCACAGACTGTTATCTGTTCCCTCTTAGAATACTATCTGACAAATCTCAAAGGCTTACCTTCGCCTTCAAAGCTACTCAAAATATAATGACATTTTTTTAATTTTTATGAATGTTCCTTGATTTTTTGCAATTTGGCAGTCTTTAAATAATATTGAAGAATTTTTTACGGACATTAATTTGCATATTAATTTGCAGAATTAATACACGAAGCTATAAATATTCATCATGTCCTCTAAATTGCTGGCCTTGTGTTCATTTAAGTTTCCGCTGCAATATACAAGTAATTAATATCTGCTTCCCCCATAATACGTAGAAACTTATCTATTGTCCGCTCACCTTGTCGCGTGCCTGACGCACCCGCCCGCCTGTGCGGCCACACGCTCCACAAAACCTATAAAAACTACATAGCAATAGCAAACAAATCCGACTAATTAACAACAATTCGCGGGCACATTATTCAATATAAATTAGCATAAAAACATAAGCAAAAACTATGCTGCCACAAAAGATAAAAGTATGTAGAAGCGACTATTTTGCCTTCTCGTGGCCGAGTCATAAATTACTCAGATCGGTTGGCCCATAACGACCCCAAACGGGACAGACAGCCAGAAGCGGATACTCAAGCGCCCGAATACCGGATATACTATAGAGAGGGTGGGTCAGCAACCCTGGCTGGCCACCTTTCTTTGCTCATTTTTTTTCATTGTTTCCAATCAATGCTAATTCTAAATGGCCAAACGCCTCTCGAACTAATGAGATTGGCGGCTAATAAATTATATATTTTGACAGTTTAACTCTGTAGCTGAAAAAATGCTTTTTCTATTTGCCATTTTTTTATTTTCTACGCTCGCTCGATAAAATTTTCATAAGAGTTTTCTGCGGAACTTAATCGGCAGTTTCGATCATCGTTGAGCGACCACACACACAAAAACTCAACTGCTAAAGCAGCGATATGTCAACATTTGCCAACTAATTAAATCAAAATAAAATTGGGAACTGCTTTAATAGGAATTGCCCACAAAATCTCCACAGGCAGCGGGTCCCAGCACTTCAGCCAAGAGAGAGGCACGTGTAGTAGGTTTCCCATTTTGTGGCTCGGCAGGAGTCATAAAATCATCCAAGATGTGTGTATGTGTATGTGTGTGTGTGTGTATGTGTGCGTGTACTTCACACCTTACGACAACAAACTGCAGACACATCCTGTGGCGCATGGCATGACATCGACGACAACATCGACCAGTCGACTAGTCGCTCCGTCGCTCGGTCATTAGTGTCTCCCATTTGTGTCACCTGCCGTGCCTCTGAGGCTCTGAGCTAACGTTACAATTACCTGGTAATACGATGATGGTGACGACGACGACGATGACGCCGACCACAGAATGTCTAACAACGGCACAGCTGGCAAGGCGTGAAGATCGACGCTGCGCTGAGCACAAATACGTGTATCTCACTACTTGGGCGAGGCATGAGGCACACTGAGCTACACGTTGCCTCGTGTGGCAAGCACAGCCATCAATTATAAATACGCGGCATGCAAATGTGTGTGACTGGAATCGCCAGAGTGCAGCATCGGTTGCAGTGTAGGTGTTCAGAATGTGCCACTTTAAATGGCCATCATTTGTTCAAAAGACCTTGGTGGTGCAGGACTTGGCCAAGCCCCTGCGGCCTACAGCTCGTACTTGATGGACATTGTTTTTAGTGGGCATTATGATAAGACCAACAAAGGCATTAAAAGGTCAGCTGTTTGCTATCATCATCGATAAAAGAATCAAAAAAAAAAAACTATTTAGAAAAGGTCATGGAGTCTTCCAACTTCTTCGCTTAAGATTAAAGATGTTAGCGCGGCTTCTGGCTTAGGCTTTATACATATTAGAGACTCAAAACATTCAGTTTAGTGTCATTTTTCTGTCTAGCTTTTTAAAGCCAGAAAAAAACCCTCTTAATTGTCCAAAGAGTTTTCCTGATAGGGATTATTCTGCTTTTCTTTTATTAAAGTTGTTAGCAACGCTTCTTTCTAGCTTAGGCTTTATATTAGAGACTCAAAACACTCAGTTTAGTGTCATTTTTCTGTCTAGCTTTTTAGACTGAGGCTCCATAATCTAAAGTCAGAAAAATTCCTCTTAACCTTATATTGTCCAAAGAGTTTTCCTGGTAGGGATTATTCTGCTTTTCTGTTACTAAAGTTGTTAGCGACGCTTCTTTCTAGCTTAGGCTTTATATTAGAGACTCAAAACACTCAGTTTAGTGTCATTTTTCTGTCTAGCTTTTTAGACTGAGGCTCCATAATCTAAAGTCAGAAAAATTCCTCTTAGCCTTATATTGTCCAAAGAGTTTTCCTGGTAGGGATTATTCTGCTTTTCTGTTACTAAAGTTGTTAGCGAGACTTCTGGCTTAGGCTTTATATTAGAGACTCAAAACACTCAGTTTAGTGTCATTTTTCTGTCTAAATAAACTAAATTGTCCAAAGAGCTTTGCTGAATTATTCTGCTTTTCTTTTACTAAACTCCCTCATCTTTCTTAAAAGGGAATGTACAACCTATCTGGTATTCTTCAACATTCTTGTTTTCGCTTTTCTATAAAATATAAACCACTCTTAAGAAGCTAGAATAAAATTCCACATAGCCACAAAGTCTGCCCACATCAAAGCCAAAAACGCACCCTTCCAATCCTAGATTTCCCTTTCAAATGTAACATCTCGTTGATACCTGCAATTAAGAATTGAACGTTCCCTTTTCTGCCGAAAACATTTAGGCAACGAAACATTTCACACCAAGTTCGACAACTTGAGCTACAACTACCGACTTCCACTTCCTCTCACAATACCCTGCATACGAGTATAAATCCAATTAGCACGCTTTTGTCTGCCCTTGCCCAACTGACAATTTACGAGTACGAGTATATGTCTCAAGTAAAGAAAGGCCGCACGGAAGGAAGACCGAACACACAAAGGAGCTCTCAACACACACTTCACTAGGTCTGTCTGGCTTTCTTGGCAAGTAGCGAGGGGTCGAACTTTATGACTTGCCTGTCGCTTACCTTTTGTGTTCACCATTAAACGCTATTAGCGGGTATTTAAGGATCACTTTTTCTGTTTTGGGTAGGTCATACAGATAAGTTGCTTCGAGGGAGGGTGTTTTAACGCGCGTTTAATCTAATAAGCCGCAAACACGCAAAAAAGTTCACGTGGGAAAATTGGAGCAATAACAAATTAATACAAGTTTGGAGAAATGCGTGGGCTGTACAGAGCTAGGTAGGTTGGTTGGTTGGTTGGTGGCTCTGGGTGTGTGTGCGAAGCCCAAGAATTGCAGAGTATTGTGCGTGTTATTTATGGACTTCTCGTGTAGCGCCTGGCAATTGGACATGGGAAGAGCTTGCGCAAACCAAGGAGGAAGAGACAACGCCCACATCGACTGGGAACAGCGTGTTTCATGTCGAATCCACAATATCATCAATTTGCATATTTTATGTGACACAAAATCATGCCAACAGAGAGCTATAAAAGCTTAGAGCCATGGCCCCAGCCTCCACAGTTTTGGCCACGAATTGAAGGCGAACAGATGCAGAAAGTGTGTAAATTCTTAGTTCTTTGGCTGCTGCTGCTTTGTGGCCATGCGAACGAGGTTCAGAGTCAAAATAGCACTCAGGCTAAAACGTTAAACGATCTGCCACCGGGTAGTGATAAGGAACTATCCGATTTGGTCATCACCACAGCATTGGGCAAGATACGGGGCACTATTTTACCATCGCAGGCGGGTCGAAATTTTTATGCCTTTCGCGGTATTCCCTATGCCAAGGCACCTGTTGACAATTTACGCTTTAGGCCCCCAGAGCCCATTGAGCAATGGTTTGACGTACTCGACGCCACCTTCGATGGACCAAAGTGCCCACAACCGGGACTCTTCAGCGAGGATATTAGCGAGGACTGTCTGCGCCTGAACATCTACACACGTGAACTGCCCAGCGAGGCGCAACCGAATGTGAAGAAGCCAGTTATAGTGTTCATACATCCCGGCGGCTTCTATTCGCTGTCCGGGCAGAGTAAAAACTTTGCCGGACCGCAGTATTTTATGGATCGTAACCTGGTGCTGGTTACCTTCAATTACCGGCTGGGCACGTTGGGCTTCCTCGCCACAGGCACGGAGGCGGCGGCCGGCAACATGGGTCTAAAGGATCAAGTTCAACTGCTGCGTTGGCTGAAGCTCCACATCTCGCGCTTTGGCGGAGATCCCAATGCCATCACACTCTTGGGCTATGGGGCTGGGGCCATGGCTGTGACACTCCACATGGTGTCGCCAATGTCGCAGGGTTTATTCCATCGGGCTATTGTAATGAGTGGCGCCGCAACGGGTCAGTGGTCGCTGCCCGAGGAGCAAATGGATGTGGCTAGGAAACAAGCAGCCTTATTGCAGTGCTCCATCGAGAGCATTGCCGAGCTAGTGGATTGTCTGCGTGGGGTGAGCGCTACGACTAGTTTGGACATCATTCAATTACTTACTACCTAAATTCTATTAGAAACATTATCTGGAGTATGCAAATAGCTTGCCGCGCATGTTTGATTTCGGACGTAACAATCCGTTGATTATTTGGAAGCCAGTCGTTGAGCCCGACTTTGGACAGGAGCGTTTTCTCATCGAGGACCCTGTGCGCAGTTATCAAAATGGCGATTTCATGAAAATACCCGTCATAACGGGCATGACGAAAGATGAATTTGTGGGTCCGGCCATATGTGAGTAAGCCACGGAACATATCTTCTATTCTAAAACCTACACCTTGAACTCTTGTGCCAGCTATTCTTCAGAGTCGCACGCTGCTCGACACCTTCAATGATAACTTTGAGGCCTTGGCTCCCATTTGTTTTCTCTATAACGCAAGCAGTCCGCGCTCGCAAAACATAAGTCAAGAGCTTCGAGAGCATTATTTCGGCTCCCAGCCGCTCGATGCGAATAGCTCGTTGGAAGCGCTCGCCACTCTGTACTCGGATGCTCTGACTGGCTTCGGTATACATCGCTTTGTACACCTGGCAGCGCGCTCCACTAAGGTCTACTACTATCGGTTTGCCTACCAGGGCGGTCGCAGTCACATCCACTATCCGGAGGAGTCACCCTACGGTGTGGTGCATCACGACGATCTGATGTATTTGTTTGTGGAGCCCTCGATCAGTCGCATGTTCACCGAGGACGATGACGAGTTCCGCATGGTCGATATCATGACTAGAATGTTTTCGGCCTTCGCCTATAAAGGGTAGGCTCTCAAAATAGTATTGCCTTTAAGTTCTTCAACTCCTACGATTTCCGCAGTGATCCGAATAAGCCGAGTGATGAGCAACTGCGTGCGATACGTTGGCGACCATTCAGCTTCAAGAAACGCTACTATCTGGATATAGGGGATGAGCTAATCATGCAGGAGGGTCTGAATTCGGCACGCTACGAGGTCTGGAAACGTCTCTTCCCCTTGAACTGGCGACGTCAGACCAAGGAACGCTGGATAATGGATTATATCTAAGAGTTTCCACATGAGTTTTGAAGTTTGTCGAGTGGTTCATAAAAAGACAAAACAGGTTTTTCAAATAAAAACATTTTTAACAGCAATCGGAAGCAAAGGCTTAACAAATTTTGAATTCGCAGTTTTGATCCTTGAGCTGTGGCTGTGCCGGGGGGTGCTCGGAGGGTTACTCAAGCGTTTGTTTTTGTTGCCAAGTGATAAACCAATTGGCATAATTTTCGTTTTCGACTTCTCCAATTTGATGTGCGTTGTTGTTTATGTTTTGTTTGTTCCTGCTACTGTTGTTGTTGTTAGGTATGCGTGTCATCACTGTGTGGGTGCATATATTATGGCAGTCATCGTGCCGATAGCTGTGGTACGTGTCATACATTATGGGCTTGCGTGTCGCGTGCTACGCCATGCACTGCGAGAAATTGTACTGCAAGTGGAATTTATTTATTTATTTATTTAATTATTTTATCTATCCAAAATAATCTGTCATTGTAAAAAAATAACAAAAAGGAAAAAAATACAATAGAGAACTTAAACTAAACACCTTTAAGCTGAATGTGAAAAACTAGCTATGAAAAGGGCTAATAGTGTTTTAAAATATTTTGAAATTACTTGTCTCGTGCTTTGTTTTGGAATAGTTTTTTTATTTGTCCTCGTTTTTAGTTATTTTGTTGTTGAATTTCATTTCCAAATCATATTTATTTTTAATTCAGCAATCAGTTACGATAAGAAGTTTATTATTTCGTATTATTAGATACCGATCTGAATTTTAACAACAAATTTTTTATAAATATTATTTTTAGCTTTATACATTTTAATTCAATAATCTGATTTTATACGTATTTTCTTTTACGAACCAAAAAGTGACTTTAAGTCACAAATTTATGATAACACTATGTTATTCAAAACCGAATTCAAGTTCACGAATAATGTGCCTAGAATGATGTGCTTATGAAATAAATTGATTTTTTAATGCTATAAATTACTCTTTAAAATCTACTTTAAAGCATTTTACAGTCTAGCTTGCTCCAAAAACAAATTGATTGAAGTGCCCCGAGCCTACAATTCCATTCACCATGTAACACTATTCTTTGGATATTTTACACCAACTTACACAAAATTAGTTGCAGTGTAATTTGCTACTAAATGCAGTGCCTGAAACACAGATGTTGCCGCTCAACTCTACGACTAACATTAACTTTACTGTTGCTTTTCTGGGCCACTCACCACAACCTATTTTTATTTTTATTGCTCTTATCGGAGTTCCGTTACGCTTGACAGCATGACAATTTCGAAAAAAGCGAAGGCAAAAGGAAGGAGCGATGTGTGGTGGACATGATCTGCTGCTGCCACTTTCGAATTGGACTCGTCCTGTCCGCCTACCCGCCTAGCCGCCTGCCCGCCTGCCCGCCAACTCATTAACATAGCGCACATGACGCTTCATTTCCAATTGGCAATTGCCACCAAGGCATGAGTCACGCCAAAGCATCATCACGGACGGACTCCAGAGTGATGCGTCCTGCGAGGGTGTGCACCAGTTGGAATCGTTAATATATTTATTTATGCAAATTGTAAGGCACTGCGGTCAGACTGGATATCGGCGGCAATAGATCAGCAGCAGGCAGCAGGGGCATGAGTGTACATTTTGATCGTTTCCACTTTAGTTTTAATTGTTTGGCTTGTCAGCGCAGCGCGGCGCACAGCATATGTCGCTCCACAATGCATAATTTGTTAGACAAATGCAAAAAACAAAAAAAAGCGAAATAAATGGGAAAAAGTTAAATAAGAAGTGAGCATTATGTGGCATTTCCATTGAAATATTTCGACGACTGCGCGAACAGTTCGATTTCCGCGAAAAGCATTCCACAAGTCCCACAAGCGAAGAGCTGCAAATAAAGTTGTGACCAGAGCCTATCAGATGGACAGCGGCAACGGCAACGGCAACAGCAGCATGAAGCTTGCCAAGAAACCAATCCAAGCCGGGGAACATGTTTGCTTTTCCCGCTGCGCCAACGAGTTTTTATTGACTGATGGAAATCGCTCAAAAGCAGTTGAAATTCGCGCCAAGCGCGGTCGCCGCTGGCCACAAAATGTAATTAGATTGCCGCCAAGCCTAGGCCTTCGTAGGTCACATCTAGCGCATAAGCTCCTATGGCTCCAAACAGTCTGTGGCAATGACATCGACAACGACATCGACTTCCTTCTGTGGTTTCAGCAACACTGTCCTGAACAACCACACTGATGCGACAAAACTGACAAACAGATTCTCTCGAATTTTCCATTCAATTATATCTAAATTTTTTAAGTAATTCTAACTTAAAAATTCAGCTGAATAAAGCAATAGTTAAGGTTATTAATAATATTATAAATACATTGCTAACTTTATAAAAATGTTGATGATTATATCAATTACAATAGCATTTACAATAGCATTTACAATAATTTTAAATATATTTCTCTTTCTAGAGATAGACCTTTTCAGTTTTCGCATTTTTACACAACATAAGTAGGACTTGGGCTTACTTTTTGAAACTTTTTATTTCCACAAAATGGTAGCATGCCAGTCTTTTGTTGAAACGTATGTGTACTAGTTTTATGACTAATAGTTTAAAAGAAGTATATAGTATATATATATAAGTATTCTTCAAAAATAGCTAACACATATAAGCTTACACCTAAAAGCAAGAAATTATTTGAAATAATTTTAAATAGACAATTTTAAACAACTGCATCGATTTCCACACAATTGTAACCACTGTGCGACGACGACGCGTGCTTGGAACTCCTGCTGTCAACATCAACGGAGTGGAATCTTTTAGCAACCGCTCCAACTCGGACTTACAGCTTACAATGAAGTTGTCTCTGAGCATTTGACGGGCGATAAGGAAACAGTGAAGGCGAAGGTGAAGGCGAAAACGAACTCCAAGTTCAAGTCCAACTCGCAGCTCGCATTCAAAACAAAGCCCAAAAAGAAAACCTACGACGTCGTCGTCGTCGTCGTCGTCGTCGTCGTCTCTTACATAGAAAAATTTGCACAAACATCACAAAACTCATAAATAACAATAACAGCAACAACAACAATAGCGGAGCCAGCCAGACCCAACAGTTGCAGCAGAAACGGCAACCAACTTTTGGTCCTGTCTGGAGTCTCAACTACTCTTTGACTTTTTGGTATCTCGCATGGGCGATAATGTGCATAGCATTGCAGAATTTATGAGTCACATCTTCAGCGGACTTTGGTTTGCAGTTGAAGCTTAGTTTCGGCTCTCAGTTATGCCAACTATTTATTGGGTTAGCCAGTCGAGCGGTAAAAAGTGTCGCCTACACGTATTTGAAATACTCAGTGGCCTTGTGCGTTGGTGGGTGTGGGAAAATCCTAGGCAAGCGTTTTGGTAAATTACCCAAGAATTAAAAATTGGGGGCCAGGCGAGCGTGTAATTCGCAAAAGATAAGAAATATATTTACAGAGTTGGCATCGACTTTTACGACGCTTCAGAACCCCTTTTTTATTTTGTATTTAATACTTTTTTTTAATAAACAATCTATTTACAAGTACAAGGAATACGACATTTTAAAGCTATTAGCAGAATTACTAATATGCGCAAAATATTTGCCCATCTGACCATTAGTTTAGTCATAGTCGGCTTTTGCAGAATTTCGTTTTAAAACTAGCTATAAAATGTAGTCCTTCAGTAGTCTGAAATAAGCTTAATTAATCGTCGCTCATAGCTAAGCTAAACTAAGCTACAAAATGTAATATTCCAAACACAAAATCTTTAACTTACATTAAAAAATACAATTAAATGTATAGTATTTCCCACCCACGTCGAACAAATACTATATATGTATGCATTATTATTTAAATGCCTATTCAAAGTATAGATTCAAACTTTACTTATACGAGTTCATATGTATTGTATTAGGGGAAAATATTTAACAACATGTGCCTAAACTAAATGCCTCTCTTCAAGGGCGTACCCCCCTAGAAAAAATTTTTCCATATAAAGTCGACCACACGTTCATTATTATGACGCGCTATTTCGCCTTAAGATGTATCTGCGTTGGATTTGTTGAAGTTTTTTCATCGATCATATGCATAAATTATTTTTTAAATGCATCGGGCATTATTTAATCAAAATTTTAATTTTTTGGCCCCCCCTTGCCTCTCTTATTGTTTCTGAAAAGTATATACAACAGTCTTAATCTCTTAACCCGCTTTAGTTTATGCTTTTCATATCAGCCGACCTTGTAACCATATCACAATATTAACATTTCGGCTCGTGCCTTAAACGTGCCGGCCACTTCCTGCCTCCTAATATTCTCATACCAGTAGAACAGTTCCACGCAAAGAAAGCAGAACTAAATCAGTTGAAGAATAGTTGGGGTTTTTGAAAACTTGTTTTGAATAAAATTCGGGTTTCTGAATATTAAGTTAATTAAAAACACATGTGCTTAGTAAATACAAGTAATTAATCAGACTATAATTAAATAATAAAAACTCTATTTTTGTGATAGGTGAAAAATTATTGATTTATTTTAGCGACTTCCTTATTTTTTGATTAAACAAATTATCTGCATAACCTTAACATTAATTTGAAAATTTTACGTATCATGTTGTTACTATACTTCTGGTCTCTAATCTATATTTTTTGGCCATTTTATTTTCACTTTTTTACTCTTGTTTATTAAATTGGAAAATGTTATTTCTGATATTTCTAAAGCCAATATGATATTTTTGCTTATCAATTTTTTTAAAATGAAATATCATATTTTACAAAAAAAATCATTTTGTTCTTTATCAATTGAATATTTTATGACTTTCCTGAGAAACTTATTCAAATTTTATTACAAATCACCATACATTTCTGGGAATCCACAATGCTTTACCTAGAACTGTTTTCACTATTTCTTATTTCTCTTTTAAGCGCCTAAAAATGAAAACGCTGCTTCGTTTTAAATAAGCCCGGCAACTAACTGGGATCGCTAGACATTCTGGCAGACCATTATCT